AAATGATGTACTATGTATTGAAACACGATTTAATAACTTTTTGTTATTCGGGCCCAAAAATATTATTTTTTCAGTGGAATATTCGATGTTTTCCAGCGCACAATTACAATATTTTCTCTTGTTACATTCGTAAGGGCGAGAAAGTAAAAATGAAATGTTACGTTCACATTAAAAGCGACGAATATACTAATATATAAGTAATAATAGGAAAGAATGTCAATATCAATATTTTCTAAGCATGTTAACACATGGAAAGAATTAGTAGATTAAATTGAATATTTTGTTTCACTTGTTCTTATTAACTAATATTCTAATCGGTGTAATAAATGCTCTGAAAACTTTGTACAAGATTCCATGCAAGATAGTTAAGTTAGTGCACCGAGTAGAATTATTAAAATATAATAAAAATGGAAGATCTTTTAATGTTGGTATAATATACAAATAAATACATACTTGAAGTGTCGGAAGCGGTTATCTTACAACATAAAAGATCTGATTGAAATTGTGTAATTTACCCTTTTTTTCATCTAAACGAAACTCGAAATTTTATTCAAAAGTCTAGATTAGAGTACTATAGAACAAAAAGTAAATAATGTAATTTGTTGTATATATGTATATGTAAATGTTACCTTATGAATGGCAAATAATTCTTCTTCAAACTCGATTGACATCGTCAAATGAGATTTGTACTTGAGTAGAAATTTTTTGTCATATTAGAATGAAACGCGTGCTCTCAGATATGAATGGATGAAGTCACATAAAAACAGAGGAAAATACTGTATAACTAAGTCAAGGATTTATAATTATCAGAATTATGGCTCATTTCCTTTATCGTCCTAACTCTTCAGCAGCCGAATGGGGGAGTGAAGTCAAAAGATTCAAGTTCATTGAAGACGTTGAAGGTCAAGGCTCTTCGACACAGATGTTCCGTATTGTATTGTGTAGTATTATTCAGTTCTAGCGCACACATTTGGATACGAACAAAATTGTAATAATAACAATAATATTAATTATTATAATAATTATAATTATACTACTACTACTACTACTACTACTACTACTACTACTACTACTACTACTAATAATAATAATAATAATAATAATAATAATAATAATAATAATAATAATAAATTAGTGTGATTTATGAATATATTTAAAATTATAAATAATGTGGTAATACTTTATTCTTATTTGCACATTTTTGTTAAAGTCAATGGCAGGGAAATATCTAATCTCTTTGGATAGAAACTCATATTTGCAGTGTTTAGACCGAAACGTAGCCGACCTGGATGACCAAAGTGGCTAAGAGCGTGTACCGACTCAGCGCTTCGGGTAGAAATATCGCGCGTTCGAGTCCCGCCCTGGGCATGGATCCTTGTCTCTCATATACGTGTCTCTCATATCGTCGCGGAGAGACTCGCGTTCTGCTCTAAATCAGAGGAGCCGGCAAGTGTGTGGGTGTCTATAGTCGAATATGCATCCCATTGGGACGTAAAGGATAACTGGCTGTAGGCCGGATAAAACCCCTAGACAGAAGAAGATGGAAACGTTTGTGTATTTATTTGCGTCAAAAATAGTACCATCGTTTTCGTGTTCTGTGGTAAAAGTGGTATTCAGGGGGAACTGAAACTTACAATAATAAAACAATCGGATAAACAAGGAGAATAAAAGAATTTCAGATTGTAGTAGACTTAAAAAAAGCACTGAATGCTATCGATCTCAGCAGACAAGAACCGAGATTGCCCCAAACCCAGACATCTGACCTGCGTTATTCACCCGCATCCATCTCTTCGTAATGACTCTATGTCGAAATGAAAGAAGCAAATGAATCCATGATGTCAGCCTATGAAGGACTGTCTCGCCGTCTGATTTAGCTGGTGTTGTTGAGAGTCTATAATAGTATCGTTGTTGATCGGGAGACGCAAGGCACTGTCGTTGGTTCTTAGTGACACGAGATCCAAATGCTAGCTCTGTGCCACACCTGGCTCTGTGGCACATGAATTGTGCCATAGCCCGCAGGTGGTCGTTTCTTTCTTTTTCCTTACACACATACGCGCGCGCGCGCACGCGCCCTTCACTACCGTACACATCGGGGGACCAGTCGGAAGCTTGGTGATTGTGCCTTGCTGGCAGAGATACCTGGAAGGGAAACCCCGCCAGTCGACGTGTAGGTTAGCGCTGGATCTCTACTGATTTTGTTAGAGGAGGAATAACACCTCCCTGTACGCAACATGCTCATCACTTACGGAACGGCAATAGAGGTTGACGCGCCCAGAAACATAAAGTCATCAGTCCATACAACTCGTTATGTATTCTCAATTCAGACCAGTGGACTATTATTTTGTCACGTTCCAAAACAGTGCACCATCGCCGATGATTGCATCTCCTCCTGAAATGTATCTCTACATCAAGCAAACGAAATCAAACCTGCTGAAAATTCGTCGAAAGTTTCATTTGAATGAGTGCAGTTAGAGTTTAGGGTAATTTTCACAAGTAATTTAGTTTGTTTCGATGCCGTTTCCACAAACAAATGTTGAAAGAATTGAAACAAGCCATGTCGAAAAGCATGTAAAAATATGAAAAAGAATGACAGTCGGCTCCGGTTATAGTGATCTCATATTTAGTGATCTCGTGTACATTGAACTCTCGGTTACAGTGAACCTAAGTCATTGATCCCGTTTCTCTTACTTTACCAATAAGAAAGAAGATTCGGTTATAGTGAACACCAAAAGTAAGCTATAGTGAATGTAGGAAATACGTCCTGGAAATTAATTCCCTTTTGGAAGAAAATAGATCGCCCCAATGCCCCAAATTCCAACACTAGGCAGCTTGTAAAAAATATTGTCGGCCAAAGGTTACAATAAAGGGAATCTTCCCCGAGATGGAGACAGCGGATACGGAATGTTTTATTCAGCGATCAGTTTCTTTAGCCGCTTGCGCCATGCCGCTACCGAAAGGATCGCAGATGTTATTAGGCGAGTAAAGGGGGCTTCGGAGAGTGGGGCGGTGTTCCTACAGTACAAGATGCACTGAAGGGTGTCAAGACTGCAATAGGATACTTAGAGAAGTGGACAATGCAGAATAAAGTATGGAGGAAGCACGAACTTGAGAAGGATCTAGAGAAATCACTAACGAAAATGAACGAAGCAAATAATTAAAAATAATTGATTTTTTACGGTCAAATAAAGATATTGAAATTTTCATTTGGTACTGTTAATGCATTTTTTGCATCACTTCATCAATAAAATTAATCATTGTGGAGGAATTCTATTTAATTTTAACATCATCGGATAATGAGAACCAAAATGTTAGTGCCCAGGGGTTTCTATAACCGAAGTTGACTATAAATCCGATTGGGAAATTGAAAATCAGGCCACGCACGTTGAACGTAAATGGCCAGCTCATAATCACCTAATATTAAAGGTTTTGTGATATTCACTTTCATTACGCTTTAAATTAAACTCTCAAAATTCCAACTTTCAACAAAAAAATACGCATTTAAATAATTTTTCTTTAAATAGAAGATTTGAAGAGCACTTTTTTAAATCTAACTACATATGTAAGCCATTTCTATGCAAACTTTTTCAAATTGGAGGAATGACAAAACAATAATGCAAACTTCAGCCATCAATTCATATTCGCCTACCTCTGTGAAATGGATGCGAAAAATTGCTAGACTCATCGACTATGCCCCCTAAGTTAAATTTTATCTTGAAAAGTTTTGTATGAATAGAACTAAATGCACTGAAGAACATGATATAAACGCCACTTTGATGTACTTTTCATATTTTTCAAACATTACACTAAGATATTGTTTATATAACACTCACGTAGTGTGGTGCACATCTTTAATATATAAGTTACTGGTATTTTTATACACTTATATTTGTGAGTATAAGTGCTTCAAATGATTTCCAATGAAGTTTCTCGAAAACAAACCTTTTTTAATGAAATTGAGCTTAAAATTGTCCATTTTCAGAAATGCTCAACTCATTTTCTCAGAAACGGCTCTGAATTTTTTCTTTAAACTTTTTGTAAAGATAGTGTTCATTACACTGAATAACATGACATATAAGTCATTTTAATGTATTCTTTTGATTTTTCAAAATCTTCACAGAAGGTTTTTAATATCGCTCGTGTCGTTAATATTTCATTAGAGGTATTTTATTACGTGTGATTGCATTTGTGAACAGAAATACTTCCTTTGATTTCTGATGAAGTTTCTCAAAAACTCAACACTTTTCCGTGAAAATGAGCTCAAAACTATGCATTTTCAAAACACTCAAAAGACATTTTCTCAAGAACGGCTTTAAATTTTTCAATAGAAATGTGCATGTAGGACTTTGCAGGACTACTCTTCTATAATACTCTTAAAGATACAACAATTCTATTATTTGAACATTTCTCCAAAAAATGGAGAAAATGTGAAAAATTTCGTTAAGTGCGCCGATAGCTAGGGGAGGGTGGGGCAAGTTCAAAAATCGAGCAGTGCAGAAAAAATAGCCCAGTCTAAAGAATTAGAAATCAAAGTAGTGCGTGAAACTTGCACTAGTGGCATTCTCTAGCCCCACTTGTTTAATGTTCTATTTGTCAGCGTCTCCCCATATGGATGATGCCGACAGAATAAATGATATTATCTCGTCGATTTATAAATCGAAAGTAGTGTTTTCATAAGTAACGAAGATGTTTAGTTAAACAGCAGATATAATTTGAAAAGTTTCATTTTTACTGTTAGCGAGTATTTGTAGCCGCGTGAATACCCGTTGAATTAATGACTATGCAATGAGTAATTCTCGATCTCCGAGTCTCAAAATAATAATTGATCTTGCGAATGGACCGAGAGAGGTCTGCACTATAGATCCCATCCAGCCGCTGCGAGTGGCATCTTGCAAGGCAGCCAGCCACGCGCAGGTCAGTGACCTAAACCTCCGCGTGCGGGAGGGGGGCGGGTAGGAGCAGCAGTTGGGGTGGTGGTGGGGGAAGGACAGAGACATGAGGGGTATTTGCAGCCTGGGAGGGAGCGAGACGAGAGCTTATATAGAGGGAGTGTCGCCGCGGGTGACAGTCTGTTGAAGGCAGGCCGGCGGGCGACTTTCTGGCGAACACGGTCTTTCTAGGGGGCGAAAGGCGCGACGGTCGAGACAAGTAAGTTGCCGACAACCCAACAACGCGACAGTGACGCAAACAGGGATTTTGTTGGTGTGATTACCCGTTTAATGTACTGTCGATGGAGGGTCCTAAATATGTAATGGGTGATTCTGGATCTCATGATGTGAAAATAATTGATTACATGGATGGACACAAACGCAAGGTTCTTTTAGGATGTTTTACAATTTTGTGTTTTTGGGAGTTTGGATGGAATCCATTCACGTGCTTCCGTTCACAATCGACATCCGACGCTACGATGCAAGACTGAGGACGACACACAAAACCGAAGGTATTCTGCGGTTAACACGCACCTGGTTGATCTTCGCTTTTAATTTCGAGCGTTTGTGTGAAGTTCTAATCAACGAAGCGACTCGTTTAATATTTCTTCTAGAACACTAGAGTAGTGTGCAAAAGCATTTGATGAATATTAGTTTGTGTGTACCCAGGTTGCGGATATATTCGGCTTACATGATAGATTGAGTTCTTTTCAAGCTATTTTAGGATAAATTCTTTAATGTATGTTTCCTCTACAACTCTAATGTAAATCAATTTCTTTAATGGATTCTCTTAAATCGCGGACATTTGTTTCCTTTTCCCTTAACAAACTGTTCAGCAGCGAAGTATTTTGGCTCAAACGTTTGAAATTTTGTTGGGCGCTCTTGAGTTCGTGTTGATTGCGGGGGTCGAAAGCAGGAACCTCTGCACAAATTTGGACACGCGTAGCGAAGTGAAAACTGGGCTTATTTAGAAGTTACCACACAACAAGCTGAATGAGGCGTCGCCGAACCTGTATTAAAATTTTCATATGTTGAAAATTTCTAAAGGTCATGGATATCTTTATTCAAGGAGTCCCAAAATATTCCAATTATTTTCGGTATGTCACAGTACTGTAATACGGATTCACATACATATTGCATCACGTCCATTCCCATCTGTGGCGACAAAGACGTGCAAACGCAACGGACAGTTTTTTCTCAAATTCTGTAAGATGTTGCCAAGATAAACTTGTAGTACATCAAGCTTTTAACAACTGGTTCCCCCCCCCCATCACCTGCGTTACTTGGATATTGGAATTCCGCTGCTAATTCAGCTATAAAGAAAGCCAATAGCGTTGGCACTAGCTAGTAGAGTCATGAAGGGCACAAGCCGAGCGCGGCGGAATGCGGCGTCGCAACTAGAAGTTTCCTCTGGCTTTCCCAAGAAGTATTTCTGTGAAATTGAAACTCCATCTGCACAGCACCGATTAGGTCGGTATACATTCACTTCCTGCGGAAAGCGCCAGGATCGAAAAATTGGTCTTTCTTGCAAAACGTCATAGTGCATGCAAGTTTCATATATTGATAAGAAATATCAAATTATCTTAATTTGAAATTATTTATTTAAATTATTTTTCACGAGGATAATGAACCAGTAATGCTAGCCCACTGATTTCTCTTGTGATCCACTATTAATAATGACACTCGTGAAAGATTGTGGCGCGTGATTATATTACGTGTTATGAGTAATTCTAGCTACCTGCATTGTACGTTATTGGTCACCTGAAAGTCTTTGGCAAATAACATTGATTCGTAAGTGGAGGCAAGGGAAGTCAGCACAGTAGCTTGAGGGAGTTAAAAAAGTCATAAACGAGTTACAAAAGTCAAATAAGTGAAATAAGCAAGTTTGTATACGCAACATTCTTGATCTCCATTATTTCTACACCTCTCCTTCACCAATGCAATTGATAGTGAATAAATGACAGTTACAAGCGTTGGTACATCTGATAAATGTTGGCCACTGATTAACTATTTGCGTCAACTAACGAGCTATATACATCGATTTGATAACAGACGTTAAAATAACTCCTTTCCCTCTCCTCTCGAATGAAACAAAATAAGCGTCGATTATGGTAGATCGTACCAGGCTAAACAAAAATTTTCTTACGAATAATTTCGCTATGTCTTCCCTCACACTTGGCGTTCCGCGGAGGAAATTAGGATTTTAATATATTTAATCCACGCACGAAATATATCTAATCCACGCACATTCCTCGTTAAATTTACTTCATGTCAAAAAACTTTATATCAAACGACGCCTCTGAGCAAAATTGGAATATACATTTTCATCTGTAAGTAGGGAGTTTTAGTACACGTGTAACTTGTTGACCTTGTGACACGTGTAACGTGTTTACTACAAAGTCATGTGACTGACGGTAGAACTGTAACGACCGCTGGTCTAAATGTTTAACTTACAGGTAAAATAGTGTCCAGTAAGATTCTGCGAGAGAAAAAAATACACAAAATTTTGGGCCTTTTTTTGAGAAAATGTTTAAATATTCAGCTGTCTCATAAAGTACTCGTAAATATCAAAATATCGGTTTAAAATTTGCATGGCATGGATTTCCTCCAGATCGATTGGGGGAAAATCAGTTTAGGAGGAAAATCAGTATTGGACAGTCGGACTGTCGTTTTGTCGTAAATAATTTTTCATTACTAAAAATCCATAAACCGAAACCACATTTATCCCCTTTTTCCAGATCGAAGTCCCACAATAGGAGTTTTTCTCGTGTACAATCGCCACTTTTCGCTGAAGCATGACGCATACTTCCTCTTCTCTACACAATTACCTTTTATAGTGAGAAAGTAAAGTCTCTAGAACGAAGTACTGAAAGTTCGTGGATTCGTTCGTTTTCCATACTATTTTGATTAGGATCACTTACGCTTTACATTTTTTGTTTGTTTTTTAGGCAAATTGAGAGATGACGTCCTTGCGATTGACTGGATTGGCGTCCCTTCTCTTGTTCATCTGCATGGTGCACAGTACTCCACTTCAGGACAGATCACTTAAATCGAAGACGGATGATCTTCAAGTGAACAGGTTCGTAAAGAAAACTACTTTCCGGTTTTAAAAATATAGCTAAAAAACTTCGTTTTTTTTTTCATTTGTTTTATTCAGATAAAATTGAGCAGTTTGTGCTTAAATTTGAAGCAAAAACAATTGTGCAACTAGCAACTTTTTTTAATTTTAATTTTTTCTCTTGAAGGTTATTGGGGAAGAGTTTAAATCTTCCCCTATAGGGATGTGCTATAGGAATAGACATAAAGCTAGTATTATAACGCTAGTGATACGTCAAACGAGGAATGAACATATGGAAAAGTAAATCCACTACTCTTCCACATGTTGTGGTTACGCAAGAATCATTAGCTCTGGTGTCCCTTTGTTTCTGCTGAAATTTGTTTTGTTTCTAGGACAAAGTAATGATCGCCGGCCTTGGTAGGCGAGGTCGCTAAGGCTGAAGGGCCGTAGCTGCGTCGGCTTAAAGGGCCGCGCGTTCGAATCCCGCCTCGGGCATGGATGTTTGTATGTTCGTGTAGTACATACTTGTCCTTTCTTCATTTCCCCCTACCGTTACAGCAATCTCATTAGTCGCTATATGACAAAGATGTTTAAAAGCGACCAAAAAAAGCAAGAAGAGAAAGTCAGGAGTTTGCTGATACCAAATGATTACGATGTCAATGCCTTTAAACTGTTACTAAATATTATAGCTAATCTGTCCTGTGTGAAAATATTCGTAAAAGTATTACAAAATTGTTTAAAACAGAATTTTATTGCAGTGTGTTTTATTTTTGTTTTTCTTATTCTTCAAACTCGGAGTAATCTTAGCTTGGTAACCTTAATCAAAGCTTGGTAACGATACGGCGTTCAATCTAAAGCTATCCCTACCTGAGAGTTCATTGCCAGTGTTTATCTTTTAGTCAGAAACTGTTACAGCCGTATGTTTCTTACGTGGTGGATCATTTCTAGTTCTCTCTTAACATAATAACCTAACAAACATACGTATGTAAGCTGGCTTTTCAGCAACTACTACAATCCCAAAACAGAGAAAGATAAAGCGGGAAGTTCGCCAATTGTTTTTACTACGCTCCACAAATCTTCGTAGCATCAAAAACTGTTTAGTCGCACAACAGAAACATTCATAATTAACGGGCAACGCCGGGTAATCAGCTTGTTTTACACTTTTATTGTAATGATTCTCCAATATCCCTTCAAATTAAATATTGAATCTATTCATAAATCTCGGGTTATTAATATATTCGGCTAGCATGTTCACATGACTATTATCAATACTAATATTGATATTTGGATTCTTTTATAAAATAAATATATTTATCTGCTACTGTTGCCCTACTACGCTAAAGTGTCTATTTAATAATCAGTTCCTTATCAGTATTATATTTCTGACTAACATTAATAATATTTACTGTCCTAATATTTCTACACGTGGGTATAGACACACTATGAATTATTTACTTGGTTGTAAGTAGCCAGGCCGTGTATATGGATCAGCGATTTCTGGAAATTTTATTTAACTGAAATAATTCTTTGATTGCAAGCTACCATTGCTTGATAAGCATTTCTTCAAATAAACAAATAAAATATTTATTTTACTATCAAACTAACATATTAAGTTGAGCTCATTTTATATGAATCTGTATTAATTCTGATAAGTCATCTTTTATACAATTCAAACCAAATCTTCATTGCTTACGTCGGATCTTCAGATTCAGAAATTTCCCGAAAGTATCTTGGACGAAGGAAATGATAAATATTTCACGATATCTTCTTCCTTCAGTCGGTGCCTAGGTATCACCTACGTCGCCCTTACACTCTGCACGTTATTATCTGGAGCATGTTGTAGAAAAGTCTGGAATTCTATCATTAGCCAGTTGGCAGTTTAATCAATTAGTTTATCCGTACAAATCATACGCCCCTACTCTTCCACCGCTGACTGGTGCCGCTGACGGGATCTCGTCCCTAATCTAAGTAATATTTCCTGAAACACGTGCCCATTTACTGTTCAATTAATAAAATAGTAAGACGCGAACGTAATACTAATAAGTTTTCTTATTCCTCGCAATTATGAGCAATGCTATTTCCCTTCGAAGTTTAACATTGGATCCTTGCTAATTCCATACGCCACTATCTGAGAACGCGTCCCTTTCTAAAGCAGTCTAGAGCCTACCCATACGAGAGGTGTTCAGCATGGTGGCGGACGGCAGAAAGGTCAGATTCTCTCCTCCGGTCTCGACTACGCCTCCTATGGACAGTTGGCGTTACACAATGGGCCTTGCTTTCCCTCTGCACAGACGACGTACGGCATGGCAGACTGTTCATTCTCCGTGGCTTTATTTATTTTCGCCAGCTTAGCAACCCGTCCATTCCCTCTGAATAATGAAATAAACAGCAATAACGTAATATTCATCTTTTTCGATTGGCGTTACGGCGCTTGTAGCTTTGCCTTTGCTCCCTTCATCACAGTAGCCCATTCTTCTGCCATGAATTTTCCTTCGCCACCTATTCACTCCTAATGATCTTAGGTCTTCCTCTCCCGCATCAATCCATCTGAGATGAGGCCTTCCTCATCTTCTCCTTCCTGCCATGCTGCCCATTTACCCCTTCTGTGGTACTCGATTGTCACTTATTCTGTCGACGTGGCCAGCCCATTCCAGTTTTCTGATTTTAATATCTTGAAGAGGCTGTCATAACATAATTTCCCGCCTCTATCCTTACCTTAATATCATCTCCCACCGTACAATTTTCTGCCACAACGTAATATAAAATGTTAACATCAACGTGGAAGGGTCTAGTGGCTCATCACTGTGTGCATGGTTGGTGTGCATACTTTCTTTTTGAAAATCAAAAAAGCACGCATATTGTTTGGTTTCAGAGCGCGACGAAGCATCAACCTGTTCCTGAGAGTGGCCGAAGCCATGCACGGGGTGCACCACTATCAGAACGAGGACGAGGAGCAGGTGGTGGCCTCTATAGGGCAAATTAGCACCAACGGCACCCGCTCCAGGCCCCGCCGTTGGACGCGCTTGCGACCCCGCTCGGCGGTACTCAGGACCGCGCTGCCGTAGCTCGTGGAGCGGTGACGCCGCCCACGTGCGATGAAATCGTTTTGTACTAGGTAATTTTGCTCTTCGGGTGATCTTCTAGAAGGAAAGCAGTTTGGTTGAGGCCAGAGTTTGTCATCTAGGCTATCCGGGACGAGCCGCGTCATGGTCATGGTGGCTAACGTTTCAGCCAGCGTATAGAGGCCTTCCTCAGTTCTTCAGTACGCTCTAAGAAAGGCCGCCGGCCGAAACGTTAGCCACCATGCCAGTGACGCCGCTCGTGGCGGATAGCCTACACAACAGAAAAGCGGTTTGTGAAAAGATTCGTTCACGCGCGCTGTTGATTGCGAGAATGGCGCGGCCGCGGAGTGCGCGGAAGTCGCGGCGCGGTAGTTCAAAGTCGAGAAAGGTTCGGGCCTTCGGCTCCCGTGATAACATAAAACATCCTAGTCTGTCCGACCCGTCGTGGTGTGAACGGCAGGTGCGAGCCATGGTGTGCGTGGCTCTCCCGAGGAATGTGACGCTTCGCTACGTAGAACACGCTCTGGCCTTTCATCTCTCCAACACATTTTTCAACCACACCAACTCATTTTAGGCGAATTTTTAAGATTTTATACTTACTTAAGGTTTACATATTTTCTTAATATTTTCCAGGAAAGCCTCCTGTTTACCCCCGCAGGTCTTTCCTGCTTATGTACTCGCGCGTGAGTAAAATAAGGCATATTCAATTCAATTCAATTCAATTCAATTCAAATCTTATCATAAACTACATTTCAGCAGACATTTTTATATTCCTGTGTGAAAGAATGACTTGATTTTTGTTTCCTCTTGACCATTACGCGAGAATTTAGTTCTCCGGCCCTTGAAATACTTAGCTTTTAGATCCCTGACAGTAGAACATGCTGAAGCCGGGAAGTGACAAAATGTTACCCGGATGGTTAACTGATTGATTAGTGATTCCAGGCGTGTCAAGTGCAAAGTTCATTAGTCCTACAAGTGTAGTGCATGTTTCTCTCTCTCGGGGTGGCGGTGATATTCCTCCACTGGATGGTGAGATCCGGCGCCGACCTTTCCGTTGACTAGTGGGTTTTCTCACCCAGGTATCTCCCACCAGCGGGGCACCGCCCCAGCCGGGACAAGCTCTAAGCTCCCGACCGGTCTCCCGGCATGTGTGGTAGTGTAGTGCATGTAACAAAAGGGTGACGATAGAACGCGGAAGGTGCAAGGGGAAGATCGCGCGTGCTAACTTTAAACATCATGTAATACGAGTCTCCGGAATTCTTTCCCGAGTAGTACTAGGTGGACCATGGCCGTTTTAAACACCAAATCATGGAGGGGAATCAATCAATAAGGTGTAGATTAGCGGAGAATTCCATCAGACACATTCCATATAACAAAAAATATTGAGATGCCCTGCGGTGACACCCATTGGTGGACCTTTTGACATAAAACTGAATACAATCTTACCATTTACAATATTCATAGTTTACTTTAACTTTAAGCCATAGACTTCTTTTTCTTTGTTTCATTTTTTGTCACTTTTCTTTTTTCATTTAATTTCTTTTTTGTTTTGTAATTACTTTCTTTCTGTTTCAGCTACAATTATCCATCAAACATCATTTTACATCAAGCACAAAATGTGACTTTGCATCTGAAATCGCCCAAGACCCTACGCATGAAAATAAAACAAAAATGAAAAAGAATCTTCATCTTGAATAGTGTAAAATGAATAGTTTTTTGTTCGCTAGAACAGGTACCACTTCTACCGTGGTCACATTTGCATTACGATTCTAATATCAGTATAATAATTATCTAGCTTTTTAAGTGTAACCCTAATGAACAAAATAATTATCTGTGTAATACATACAAGCTTCATGTATTTTTCACTTTGCCTTCTATGATGTTCTATATACTATGTTATTCAACAAATAAATATGCAGTAAGTAGTAGTCTATGCACTTCCATCAAGAGCTCGAGACGTTGATAAATTAAAATAATGTAAGAAAGTCGTTCAAATGACAATCCACGAGACAGGCTTCCATCAACGAAAAAATGTTTTTAATCCTCCCCACTAAGGTTTCGGGTTAGATTCCCATAGAACCCCCGTAGAACCTAATGTGAAATTTGTTACGACAAAAGGAGTTTCATGCTTCTCAGGGCCAATTCCAACCCCCCTGTGAAGTGTGTCAAATCCTACCCCTACCCCAAGCCTAATACCTTCCAAATTCTGGCCGCTGAGTAGTGACGCAGGAGCGCGTGGTTAGAGGCGCGTACGTTATGGGCACGTTTTGGTTGTGCTCATCTTTTGCTAGAAATGGTAGTACTCTCGGGAGTGTTACTACTTCCTTAGCATTAAAAGGATTAAAACTCTGTGTTCGTTTATCGATGCAAATAAGTTTTCTATAACTCTGGAGCGAAAATGTTTTGTTTTCAAAAGTTGCTAACATAGCTTTTTTTTTTTTGAATTTTTTATTCATCATTCAACTATTTACAGTTAAAATGTTGGGAAGAGATTCTGGAGCTCAACAAAACTTCTAGTTTCTTTTTACTTCTAATTTCCATTATTCACAAGCTAATTTTGTAGCACGTAAAATAATTCCTGTCTATGTATTGGGGAGCGGTTTGAATTTATTTGGAATAAGGGACTCCTGGGGTTCTACTGCCCCAGGCCACTCATTTCAGGCCACTGGTGATGTAGGATACGTAGTACCGTACGGTGCTTACAGTATTTCAGGGTTTCAGGATTATTAAACAATGAAACCGAATGTTTTATGTGGCTTGGACTAGCTGGAAGAGAATCGGATGCAATTGCTTCCTGAAGTCAACTTCGCCGCACTTTACCATTGCTAGTACGCCATATTGCAGCTATCAGTGCAGGGGCCAACATGGCGGATAGGGCTACACGCAAGTACCATAGTGCCGCAAACCCTTGTCCACCACTGAACTGTCTGATCGCTGATATCAGGGTTGACCATTCTTGATAAACAGTGAAAACGTTTTCTCCGATTCACCATAAAGGTCGACGAGAGAATTTCATTCTTTTGAGAAATTCTTGAAGACTCGTGTCGTGTTTCGAAAAGAGCTGCCCTCATCAATCTCCAAAAAATAATAGTGAACCCAGAACCAATTTTTAAGAAATCTAAATGTTCCCCATGGTTTATTTCTTATTAGTGAATTGAAACAGCACTAAATGCGTCTCCTTGAAGCAATTACATACTATTATACCGTCAGTCTAAAACAAGAGGGGGAGGGGGGTACAGTTCTGGGCTATCACGTTCATTAAAATTGTTTATTTACATTGTATGGCATTTTGCATGTACAATTTCCTTAAATTCTGTTTTTGTCAGGTATTCTGAAGACTTTTTTCGGTGTACTACCTACTTTCGTACATTTTTAGATAATTTACAATCTATATTTTAAAGAATTTCTATGAGGAGGGATAGAGAAATTTGGCTACATATCAAAAGTAGATTTGAAAGGTTCTTTACGTTTTGCCCCGAATTTGTCAGATGAACTGTAAGTACATAGAGCACAATTTTCCATTTTCTTCAGTTTTTTGGAAAATTGAATGTCTCACATATTTTTTTCCAAATTTGTAGGTAATACATTTAATAGAATTTCATAAACTTTTTTAAAATGGCATGTTGTCAAAATGTACTCTTTGTAACAAGTCCACAATTGGTTTTTGAAACTGAAATTAACTCATTGACTTTACACTTACAAAATACAATCTCCAAATATAATTTTAAGTACCACCATTTCAGATGTAGGCCCTACTAATTTTTAAAGTCATAAATACACCAAAATTGATTCTAATTACTTTTAGAAAAACTCAGTTGATGAGATATCTACAGCACAAGTGTAAAGTAAAGTACATTTACGTAAAATATAGGGGAAACAAATTATATATCAAGGCAATAACTTACTCAAACATAATTATAAATACAGTAACAATAAACTATTGTTTAATTTTTTTGTGAATATAACTTATTCACTGAAATAAAATTTTATTTTGTAAGGCTAAGGATCCCTTAAACAATTTTCAGAATGGGCCATGGCAACCCTGTTAGCCCCCCCCTGTGTGTACCTATGAGCCCATCATTTCTACCAAATCCTACTAAACCTCTCCTATGCCAGTGTTACATTCAGTCTACTACAAGGTACAGTACTTAAGCTTGCACATTAAATCAAGCTGCCCCAAAGAAAGATACAAACCACTTTAATATCAAGGGAGTGGAGTAAAGAAATTGTAACTTCCATAGCAAACTTCAGCCTTGCTTAGGTTATTTATTGTGAAATAAATTTTAATTTTTAACACTATTATCTTGAAAATTTGCTGCTCGTGGATGACCCTTCTCAAAAACACTATTATATGTTGCAAACATGAGCAAACCAAAGTGAGGAGGGCAGGGGCCATGATGGAAAAAAATAAAAAATCTTGACTGGCAATTATCTTCCTATTTTATTTAGATGTTTAATACAGCCTCTACTTTACAGAAAAACAACACACAAACGTGTCTTTTGTGTTGTACAGGCTTGCAGGAAAAGAAAATAATGACATAAAAAGCATAAAAAAGACAAAATAGGCATCAGATGCTAAAATAGGCAAAATAATTTTCTATTAAAACTCCAGAAGTACGATTAAGTGATCCCCATTGGTAAAAGTCAAAAAAAGGCATTTTGCCAAAATTATGGGCTCTAATTATTACATTAATACTGAGCCTTAATGAAATACATTTTAATATAGGATATAACTTTGTGCCCAATATGGGATCAGCAGCCAAAAAATACAAATAAAAAAATACAAAATTCTCTAGATTTATGTGTTATGTTCAGATAGATAAGAACAAAAAACATCATCCAAAAATAATGTAACAAATTAAATAGCACTTCAAATGTCTGAAATCATCAGTTCTTATAACCATGACATTTCTATTTTTTTATAAATAATTTTATATATATTAATTAATCTAAAAATTTGGATATAAACTTTCATTAAGGTGAGATTCTTCCTCCTATGTTACTCATGTTAAATTCTTAACATTGATGACCCATTATCTAAAAAACTATTGGAGATAATGATTTGAAATATCTACTTTAAATTATCGATACTATTATTGTTGTACTGATCTACATTGAAAAGAATTGTGTGGAAGGAAACGAAAGCATAATATTTTTCTCAGACCTCATTTTTGTTTGAAAGTTTAATGACAAATTTATTTATAAATTGAAACAAATATTTCTAACTTCACAAATGTAGATCTACAGCATCACATTGTTTAGTTGAGTAATATGTAAAGAAATCAATGAAATAGGTTAAAACTCTATGAGAAAATGGGGCATTTGTAATGAAAAACTGTTTTGAGAAAAACACTCCTAAAGTTTTTACTAGAAATAACCCAGTATATTTATTGTATTATTTTATGTGAAAAAAACCTGCTCCATTTTGTGTCAATTATGCTCGTTTTTGCTGATATCCAGATGTTTTCTCTTCCGTTTCTGTCTTTCTTGGGTAATATTCTAAGCTGATATCTCAGCATGGAAGAGGGGGGGGCTTCACTTGATAAATTTTGGAGTTAAGATTTTTATTACTAAACATATTTCCACATTACAAACATTGTAAACGAAAACAGTCTTTATGATTGAATTTATTTCTTTTGTTCACAAGCTATTTAAAACACCTTTCAGTTTTGTCATTTGAGTAAAATTAGTTGACCTTTCTTTTATACACCAGGCTATCCCACTGCTTACCCCAAGAGAGAAAATAAAATATAACTTTAAAATCTCAGAACAACATGCCCATCAAATTACACAGATAAACAAGATAATAAAAAAGCTATGAAAAACACAGCATTTGAGAGTCAGACATAGTTTCAAAACCATCTTTGTAATGTGAAACCACGGTATTTGCAGATGCACATTCAAAAGGAAATATAATAATAAAAAACAAAAACAAATTTTCAACAAAAAATATATCAAAATGTTTTGAATTGTCTAGAGATTATTTTGAGGAAAATAAAATCTATATTTTTCTCCATTTTTGAGTGGAATCTCCCCTTAAGAACAAATTACAAATCAAAATGTATCTTTAAACAGCTACTAAATGAATAAAGGCAAGCAAACAAAGAATCGAAAAGCTTGTAGCATTATTGTCCATTGTTCTGGAATGTATTAACATTATTTTGAAAATGGAAAATATTTTATGTTATATCCTAAATTTTTTTTGTTCTAATCCTGAGGTACTGATTATTTTTATGAACATTATTCAAATATAATCTTGGTACTTATCCATCAATATTACAATTGTATCAGATGCTACCATACTGTCTTGAGCAATTTAGTAGGAAATGGGTCCAGGCATGTAAAGAACGGTTTTGATTTTATCAATAAAATTACAAAACTCACTATTTGGTATGGATATAAACTAATTGCTCTTGATGTATCTTCTTTATTCACTAATACTCCAATCAGTTTAATGCAATAAAGACAGCAAACCAACATGCAATTAATGGTAAATTTTGCTGAAAACCCATTTCTAAGCTAAAGCTAGCAGCCACCAAAAAACAAACCAAAATTAATGGTTAATTCCACGCTAATTAAGTAACCTATTTCTGAATTTTGGAAAGTTGTGGATTTCTTTAAACCATGCATTCTGCTAGCTGTAGTCTAAAGCAGCTAGTTGTAGTCTAAAGCAGCTAGCTGTAGTCTAAAGCAACTAGCTGCAGTCTGAAGCAGCTAGCTTTAGTCTAGAGCTAGCCGAGTCTGTTTTGAAAATGTTTTTTACAACCTTAATGAAAATGCATCCAAAATTAAAGGCTTTAGAAAAAAGTACTCCCGACAAATATTTTCCAAAAATAAGGGTGGAACTAAAAAACAAGAAGAAAGATACTGTACATTCTTATAGGAAAACGAAATCTCAAAAAAGTAAAAACATACAACACTACCCAAAATTTTAGACAAATTTTAGGTTCTATAAAAACAATTATATATCCTGATTTGTCATCATCATCATAAACTGCAAGTTGCTAGACCTGTTGCCTGTTTCCCAGTGGACCAAGAGGTTTACACCTCTAGGTGTTCCTGTTCTAGCCATTTCTTTTGTGGTCTTCCTACACTACATCCCTTTGCCCTATTGGCTTTATTTTTACACTGCTTTGGGGAATTTTTCTTGTTTCATTCTCATACTATGAGAGAGCTATATTCTCTGTCCATACTTTATTTCTTCTATAAGTTGTTTTGCCTTTAGACTGTTTATGATGTCTTTACTCCTTTGCCTATACTTTAGTGTCACTCCTGCAAGATGACAGGAATTTCATTTGCATGGCCTCTAGTCTTTGGTGCTCACTGCTTTGCATTGTCCAGTCTTCCAAACCATTCAAGAGGATTGGTTTAATATGTTGCGGATTCATAGTTTTGTCTCTGTGATCATGTCTCCTCCAAAGTGTCTTTTGATTGATCGATTCATCCTGTTATATTTCTGAATTTTGTTTTACATGTCCTGATTTGTATGCCTTCAATATTTCATCATCACTCTATGTTAACTAGTAGGTCAAATGGTATGTATTAGCACAAAATACAACTTTGCTTTATGGGAAGTTAAAGAAAATGCAACCTAAATAAAAGGCTCTAGGAAAAGGTTCCATCAAATATTTTCCAAAAAGTATCCTTTCATTTTGAGTTGGCTTAATATTTTACAGACATTTTTTATTTTTCACACACATTATCTCATAAGAACATATTTAACCTGTGTTCTTTCTACAACTTTGATTTTTGGAAAATATGTTTTGGAACAATTTCTTTTCCTGGAGACTTCATTTTTGGATACATTTTTGTTAACTTCCAGCAGTTGTAATTTCTAGGTGGGTGCAAAAGTTAACTCTTCTATGACATTATCTGTTTATAAGATTGACATATTGGACATCATTTTCATTAAGTCATTTCATTACTTTGGTGTATTTTTCTCAGTTCTGAACATAAAATAATGCTGCTTGCATTTAAATACCCAACCTCATAACTAGTGCGGGTGGCAAAAGTTCATCTTCCTTTTTCTCTTCTTAAATGGCAATGTGCGTTGGAAACTTACATTTTTTTTTTACTGTTATTGATTAGAATAATTAACCTTTGGGTACAAATCTCTTGCTTTTCCCAATGAGAACTTCGAGTTGTGCTGGACTGAACAGATTGCTACTGATCCCAAGGTAAAAGGCAATGGAAAAAGAGATGGAGAGAGAGAGTAGCACATAAGTAGCAAGCTCAAGGGAAATGGAGAAAGAAAAGTTATAGAGTAGTAGATAAGCAACTGACTACAAAATTGATGTCTCCAGTTGTTTGAAGAATGCTGAGTGGGTTTCTGTATGTCTTAAACAGGAAACATGAGTGAATAAGGCTTAATATTAGAAACAGACGGTCTAGGGGCTTGCCTGGTTGAGGCAGGAGGCGACCAGTTCCTCCATGTTTTTCATCAGCAGTTGGGAATGTATATCATCTGGTTGAAAATGGCGACAATAAATTGAAGGGTTGGCATTCAAAATTTCAGAAAATGATTGTCTTGAATGACATTTAGAACACCTTCAAAGGGATAAGAGGAATAACACACCCCATTACTAAATCATACCAAATGAATGAGAGGCAAGTACAGTGAATGGTAGCAAATTACCGAAATTATGAAGATTGTGGTGGTATCAACTTATACCTTTGGTCTTTAAGCTACAGATTAAAATTCCATGCTTCTAAAGAAACAAAACCTTTTATAGAAGACAGAGCAGACAGCAAGGCTTTGGACATTCTAATAATTTACATTTATATCTATAGGGGGTGTATGTTGGAGAGGAGTTTGAATAAAATCAAATCAGAATAACTGCTAGTGTGACAGAAAAACATCCTTTTTCTAGCTTCAAAAAATGTGTAGGATCTTACAGGAAGAAAGAATACTGTTAAATATTTCAGTAATAATTAAACTGAAATGTTTGCCTATTTTTTTCCCCACTGGAAGACACAATCTTTAAGGTTACTTATTCATTTTGAGGCATTGAGAATTTTATACATAAATTTTAGTGGCTGTTTATGCCTACATGTTGCCTATTCTTGTATTTATTGATCAAAAAGGAATTGTTCTAATAAAAAGTTTTAAAAATTGCCCTCCCTCCCCCTTCATTTTAATCTACAGAGTACAGAGAAATCAAAGAACCAATAAATCTATTACCTATTTTACTACCACCACAGTGCAGATATTTCGTATTCTGAAACATGTGCAAAATTGTTGGTGATAGTCAAGTGAACTGAAAAAAAAATTATTTTAATGAAATTGAGATTTAATATACTGTCAATCATACAAATCTTTTTCGCACCCAGCCTACAGTCAGTGATTTAAAAATGTTTCACTTCTTAATAATTTTCTGCGAAAAAGTAGTTGTCTTGATGGCCTTCAACTGTAAAAATTGATAGCAAAATTCAATTTCATGATAAAAAAATCTTTTATACTGTTCTAAATATTTGAGTTTCTATATATTTTGTAGATGAAACAAGTGATAACAAAATATACTTTACAGAAACGATTTAGAATAATGATTCTCAGTGTTACAAATCATGTCTTATCTTGCTTCTCTATGCTTCTGATGCACTGCTTATCATAAATTAACCATGGTTCCTAGTTCTCTAAACCTAAAGATTGGTTCTCTTTACTGTCACAAAGTAAACAGCAAGTGGCTGAAAGTTGTTCTGAAATTGATACAATTCCAATGAGAAAAATTGCCAATTTATATCCCTTCTACAATTTTGGACCCTGAACTGGAGTGGTTAGTGAATAGGGTGTTCTTTTGAACTTGAAATCTGAGATTTGTTCAGAGCAGTATCAGATTTCTTAGTTCATGGCAGTGAACCAAGAGAAATGAATTGCATACACCTTCAGTACAATTAGGATTTGATATTCACAAACTTTAGTAGCAAATGAAATATCATACTCAAAATCACTTTCTGGACATTAAAATTCAAATACTCTTCAGTTTTGTAGGAAAAAAAAAAAAAGGAATTTCTGCAGATCTTTCCACAAAATTAATTGAAAAATTTTTGAAATGTACCAATATCCATTGATAGAGAAAGTATGCTTAGTCTTGGAACATTACAGTATACATTACCTTGAGAGATAGGGAATTTTTTTTAAAAAAATTCTGAACAAAAATTAGTTGAGACCATTGAGTATTGAAAACTTATATTCCAGTAGAATGACAAGTGTGAAACTCATGGGGGCAGAGAGCGTAGTAAAAAAATGTTAAAGGTTACAAATGGGTAAAATTGGGAAATGAAAGTATGGAGGAAGAAAATCTGATGAAAAAAAATTTTAAATGTTAAAATTATTTTATTAGTGTGTAACTGTGGCCAATATGTACAGGTCAGTCATAAGAATATATATAAAAAGTACAGTTACTAGAAGTGTAAAGGAGAACTACAAAATATGGCTATTATTTTAGTAGAATACAATACATATCAAATATGCCTAAAGTAATTCATTAAAAAACTAAATATAAAATTTATGAGTAGGTAGAATGTGATTAGAGTCATAATTTCCATTTGTCAAAGTCGATGAATCAGGAGAAACTAAGATCTTCCAGTAGAGGCATCTTTGCAACTTCAAAGAAGATCCTGAAAACAAACAACAAAAGAGTTAGCAAACTTTTAACAATAAGGAATTTGGCATAATGCACGTTTAATACTCACTTGTGAGAATATTTATTTTTGATGGAATTTAGTTTGAGACCACTACGTGCAATCCTGTGCAACATGGCATTCAGCCTTTCCGTGCTTTCTTTTAAGTCCTCCACAGCATATCCTGAATCAATGAAGAACAATTTAGTTTTGTTGAAAAATAAAATGAAAAGTGAACAGAAGTTTTGTACAAGACTAACCTGATGCATACTGAAGATTTGGTGACCATTCATGGGTACCTTTCATTTTTAAAGCCAAAAGTAATGCTGCCGCAGCAAGCTTTGAGTCAGATTGAGAAACGAAGGAGTAGTCCATAAGGGAATATTCCAGTATGTAGCGGGCCAGGGTGAGAGTGGGCATACTAACTTGGGCAAACTAGAAAATTGATTTTATAAATAAATGCTAGAAATGTATAAAAATAAAGAAAAAGATATAAACTATTACCCTTGCATATCTCCTGAGAAATCTGTATGAGATTGGAAAACCCAGGTTGTAGTCAATATGCTTAAGAATACTTATTTCCATTTCCATCAGTTGAGATTTGGTGTACGCTCCTTCACATACATACAAATGATCCTCAATACTGGGGGGAAATCTCTCCTGAAAGAAGTAGTGGAATGAGAAATATGCAACTGCAAAGTACCAGCAGTGTCAAAATGAGTACTTACATCATATTTACTAGCGACAAAAAGTGATGCAGCAGCGACCAATTGAAGCATGGTCTTTTTTACTAAAACTTTTGACAAGTATGTATCAAGAATTTTTACTGCAAGGTACAGGGTTTCATGATTCAATTCAAAGTTTTCCTGCAATTCAACCATCCAATCCACGACCACTGTTCTCATTCCCGATGTCAAGTCTTTTTGGAGGAACATGTAATCTTTTATACAAAACTTGGGCTGGAGGGGAATAAAAGCGTACATTTGAAAATAGAAAGTATTACATAATTTTAAGAATGAGTGAAAGTCCAAGTGGAGAAAGGTCTTACCTCAATGCCTTTGAAATATTCAAAGATGTCAGTTGCATAATTGGAAACTTGTAGTGGATCAGACCAGTTTTCTGCATCAAAATCTACAACGCCAGGTGGCAAGACTCGCTTTGGAGGTGCAGCTGGATCCCAGGCCGGGCTAGTAGCTACAGATGTATTTTGGTCTTCAGATAGACTGGAACTGAAAAGAACAAAATTAAAAGAGTTGTATTGTAGTGCAATGTGCCACCGTGGAAAATTAGTAAAACTCACAGATTCTCCAAAGCCGTTACATACAGAGGAGATATGTCACTATCACTTGATGTTGAGGTACGTTCTTTTCTAACTTCAACAGCAGGTACTTTGTTCTCTTGAGAAGCTTTTCCTGGTTCAGCTTTTAATTTCCGGGGAGGAAGTACCTTTTGGTGTATTTGAGTCGACGCCTTGGCAATCTCTTGTTTCTTAAAAGTGGGAATCTCTTGCGTTACTTTAGGAGCCTGTTTTGTGATGCGAAAGTAAGAGCTTATAACAGATTCGGTTTGTTTTGAACCAAACTTTGTCACTTTGTTGCGGGAAGTCTGCGTGTTACGCTTGATGGGTTCACTGATTTTAGTTTTCGCAAGTTTCTTTGTAGCCAATGCCAATTTATCATCATGAAATTTTCCAAACACTGGCTCATCTGGAACCTACAGAGAAGTAAATTAAACAACTCAAGAGTACACATTTAAGAATAGAAACTTGTGAAAAATCCTAATATTTCAGCAGCCTTACCTCTTTGTTGGTAAGGTCTCTAAAAACAGATTTTTTGTTTAACATTTTTACAGGAGATTCCGCTTTCCGTTTAGAAAACGTAAACTTCCCTAAATCAGGTTTAATTTGAGTTGCTGCAGTCTGACTGCGTGTCACAATCGACCTGCGAGATGTGGCTACAGTCTGTTTCTGTTTGGTAAGATCCATCACCTGAAATTTGACCCATGAAAAATTGAAAAAAAAAAAAAAAAAAACTAATGATCAGTTACACAAGCTAAAGTTGTCGAGATGTTTACATTGAAATCACGTTTCGAAATTGTGCAGTAAATACATGGTGAATCTTTTAGGAGGTACCGATATGCGAATGAAATTTAAAGACCTACCCGTGAAAGAAACCACACAAATCTAAATTTCTTCCACTTTATTTAAGACACGCTTTCTCCTGGCTCTGACGTACTTTCGAAGCCGGGAACTGTGATCGAAGCACGAATATACCATGTAATTCACATAAACATTCTTCGTTGGCCGTTAGGAAGTGACCATTTAAAAAACTCTTCAGGATGCAAAGCACAGATTTCAACAAACCACTAAACTCGCGGCACCTAAAGAGCTCTTCCATTCACACACCAACAAAATGAACATGACTGATCACTTACCAAAATTATAGATGATCTTTACAAACGGCTTTCTCGACTTGAAAGTAACTTTTGCAGTCCACCTTGCTTGCTGACTACGCTTCTGTTCAAATTCTCAAAAGACAGTTACGCTTTGCTCCTATTCGCTCTTATATTCGGAGGCATTGTATCATTGGACCAATGAAATTCATGCGCAGTGGGCTTTAAAGATTGTTTGCGATAAAATGGCGACTGGCGCGCTTTGACGGTGGTAAAGCGAACTTACTTAAACAGCTGAAGTTCTAGCGCGGGTATGACGTATCAAGCAGGTATCGCGGGTGGTCGAGAGCAATTGCGTGCTGGAAGGTGGACCTGTAAAGAAGTGAATTGATGTTTGCTGCATGTGTTCTACGATTCAACTTGGGGTGAAAATTGCTAAATTTTCATTTTTAATATTTTTCTGAAGTTCCTTTTAGAAATTAAAAGTTCTATTTTGACTTATCGTGAAATGGAAGCATAATTATCAAATTAACAAACCGCTTGCAATGAAAAGGAAAGAAAAAAAACAACAACAAACTATTACTTTTTAAATAAATGATCTCCAAAACTAGTATTATATAATTATTTGTTATATCATTTTGAGTATGTATGGTGAAGATTACAGATGTTTGGATTATTATTTTTCTTTTTAATTTATACACAAACGTTTGTTACAGTTCTTCGTGTATTTCATGAGGTTAGAATATTTTTTATATGGAATATTTTTCATGAAACATTTGATTCCCTCTTCAGGTAAACTGAAATTCAGTTAAAATGAACGTATTTGAAAGTTGTTTATGACATAATTTATTTAGACCATGACTGTAAAGAACTAACTATACCGTTTGCCAGAAGGATTTTATGATGGAAGAGTCCAAACAGGTCTACGTACCCTGTTTCACCAATATTTGTGAAATTTGTTATTAGGAAGTTAAGAATGGTCTTTTGTCTTTACTACTGCTCTAGACTTGACCAGAGAAAATTTGAGAAGGAGAGAGATGCCTAATTCTTTTGCTGCTGTATATTTTTTCAAATAAAAATTCCTAGCATAGGGGCAACATTGTGGTATGTCAAAACCAAGTGAATTTTATCAGTTTTAAGGGATAAACAAGATGTGTTTACCAACTATTAAAAAAAGTTCACATCAACAGTTATTAGTATTTTGATCAGAAATGGTAATTTTTTTCAAATGCAGAATTTCTTATAACATCTTTTATTGCTTGTAGACTTACACGAATGTCAATCAAGGTCAAATTCAAAATAAAAAATTGTTTGATTTTTGATATTAAAAATTGAATGAGTTTAGATTTAGATTTATTTAATCAAAAACCAGTAAAAAACTGTATGTGACGTATAGGGGAGAAGATAACGTACACACATTTTCTTGAATTCCAGATTCCCTTCCCATCATTATAACTAAAAGTAGTTGAAAAATGAATAAAAGTTCAAATTAAATTTAAAATTATAATAATAATGATATTTTTTTTTAAAAAAATGTGACATTTGGAAAAACTAGAAATGATTGTTCGCAAGTTATAGAAAACTTATTTGCAACGGTAAACAAACTGCTGATTTTATTTTGTGCATTACTAACAAAATTGTAACTCGCCCTTACCTTACTCATACCACTACAAGAAAAAGAGTTCAACAAAAAGTGTGCCTAGTGAAGCTACGTCCAATCAAAACAAGGGGCCATCTCAGCATCTGCTCAATGTTTCAGGGAAACTGGACAAAAACCTGATCGAGATGAGAGTTAATAATTTAACTTACAATAAGAGGTGTAGTAAACAGTAGCAGAGGTTTTGCAGTGACAATTAGTATGTTATTTTACATAATATGTAATAAAAATATAAACTTTAAGTTATAAATAACATTAACAAACAGAATAATTAAATTAGCTTCTAAAAAAAAGGTTTAAAAGATGTCTAATATGGCTTCATGTTGACCAGTACTTAATTATGTTTGTTTATTGAAGCCATGAATAAAGTATTTCTATTTTTAGTCCTGAATAATTTAATCAGTCATTTGTATTAAACACTTCGAATTCAGAAACTAATTAATCAGCAACTATACTTCAGATTTATGAATTTTGTGAATGTGTTCTATTAATTTTTGAAGCGTTTATGTCTTATTTCAAGGACTACTTTTCCTCTTCTTCAGGAGTCTAAACTTTAAGTAAACAGAAACTATTATAAAATAATATTAGATTTTCTAACTTTAAGATTATAGCCAAAGTTACATAAAACAAATTTAAATTATTATTAATGTGTAGCGGGTACAAATGAATTCGCCTTGAATAAATTCTGCCATTTTTTAAAAATAAATTTCATACTTTAAGACAAAAAGTTCCTACATTGTTAAAAGAAGTCTTTTCCCCCCTTCTGTGTCATCAGAGACTTCAATGAGCACACATTTAAAATAAAAAACAAAATGGTCATATTTCAAATTTATGCCCATTCTGTTTCATTCTGTAGTTTATACTTTCCATTTTCACACTTTTCCTTGTCATTTATTGCTTTTCTTTATCTTTCTTCCATGAAGACTGAAGTTCTACTGATTATAGGGGAATGTTATGAATATAATTAAAAAATTGTGAAACTAAAATATTTATCTCTTCTCAATTGTTAAAAATAATATATTTGTTTTGAGTCATTGATATTTAAAAGCACTTTTGTTATTTTTAACTTTCAGTATTGCATTCAAGTTGAATAAAACAGTCCAAGACCAAAAAATTGGAGGAAACAATTTGTGTTTAATAATACATAATTGTGTAACATAATTTTTAATAGATCTTTCCCTTCAGAACACACATCTCAAAATCTTGAAAAGTATATGGAGGAAAATTCATTTTCAAATTTTATTCAGTTAAACAGATGTAGTTCTATTCTATGTTTGGTTTGTTTCTTTTAAATTCATTGGTGAGTGACTATAAAAAACATTTACATGGTTGTTATAAAATCTGTAATATCTCCTCAAGAAGTACTGGAATGTCTTAACGAAATGGTTGACCCTATATTTTTCATTTTTAGCCCTACATAATAGTATAGGGAGGATAGGTATTGGAATCACCTTTACAATATGATCTTGAAGTTTTGGTTATGAAATCTGTGCTTCAAGTTCTTTTGAGCTGTAACTTTGCCTACTGATCATGGTTAAGGTAGATTAGTGTTGTTCCAAAAATGGTTTAAAAATAGTGCATGTAGGGAGGAGATACTCAGGATGCATAGGTAGATGAAAATATGTGTCAAGCTTGTTTGATAGATTAGAAGTTAGGTGCTGAAACAGAGTATCAGAAGTAAGATCTAGTTGTGTCGTAGAGAGACCATTAAGATATATTAACTTTTGAGGGTATTTTGAAAGAAGCTCCTCAATGCTATTTATCCCACATTTTAAATCTTTAAATGGTGTCATGAACAATTTAAAAAAATTATGAGTAGTGTTTAGGAATTTTTACAGCAGTCATGTCATGTTCGTACAAATATGTAAACAAGAATGTGCCAAAATTGGATCTAAGTTTTTTTTGTTTAAGCTTTTTCTAAGGATAGAACACAAAACACAGAATTATATTCTAGCCATTTCATGAAAACTTAAATTTTCAAAAATTACATATTTTCAATTATTTTTTTACTTCTCTTTAGTTACACCTATTTACACTACAGATGTATTTCATGATTTAATATTATTATGTAAGCAGTTTTAATATGATTATTTAATTACATGGGCAGAAAAGTTTCAAATAATGTCTTGTGAAGTTTCCCAAAATATTAAAATGTTTTGAATATAAGCAAGATCAAGATTGTTCAAATTCAAAATCATGCAAATGGAATTTTTGTGAAAATGGTTCCAAATTTTTGTATTAAAAAGAACTTTTGTTCGTCTATGAGATTCTGAAAGCCTCATTTCAATGAAAATATTAAGGGACCCAAAAATTCTGAAAATGTTCAAAAAAATCATTTATGAAATTGAACATTTTAAATATTAATTTTTCTGAAACTAAAATCATCTTCTGAAATAAAATGTTCTCTAAAATCTGTATTGTACAACTTTTGCGGATGTAATTTGTTAACATAAAATTTTCATTTTGAAATTTCTTAAATTATGCAGATTTATTATTCTTTGGTAGCGTCAATCTTATAAACTTGATTACAAGAATTAGATGTACATAAGAGACAAAAGAAGAAAAAATATTGGATGGATTACAAACACTCTCTTGGAATACTACTATATTTTATCTAGTTGCTTAAAAGTCAGTATTTCACATTTTGAGGCACATTGTTTTAAATGATATTTTGGACAATACAAATATATTTCTTAGAAGAGTATTCTGCTTTGGGAACTTCATTACTTTGTTCTGGTAATGGAAATATATTAAGGAAATAATTTATTATAACTTAGTAAATTCAACTTACTATTTTTAGCATGTTATTTATAATCAATTTTTTCAAAGATTTTAATCATAACGTAACTAAGTAGTTTTTATATTAATACATTCTCACATTTTGAGGAGTTTTGAAGAAACAGAGTGTAATCTAATATCAGTTCTAAGACCAAACACACTTTTGATTTGATTGTAACGAAGAGACAAAGAGAAACTGCAGGTAGAGCTTTTGCTCACCTTCCTGCCTGCCAAGCAACTTGTACATAGTGCATGTTTTATTTGTAAGCTTTGGTGTTAGGGATGATATTGTAAATTATATGATTGTTTGACATTGCAGCTTTAAAAGAATATTTAATGCTTCATTGTGATAAGTTCAATTTACTGTACTAGGAGTTGGTATGCTTCTTAGTTGAAGTTGAGCTCATGCAAAAACTACCAATGTATATTGTTGTACTATGATTGTCTACAGCTGAAAGTATTTGATTTTTTTAAACACGTTCTTTCATTAATGTCTTCGAAATTTTGAAAATTACAAAAGTTAATATATTTTTCAAACCTTCTGAAGCCAGTAATTATTTCACAATAGTGTATTCTATTGTGGATTTTTAATAAGGAGTATTTCTCAAAATTTCCTTAACATATATGATACTTCAGAGGAGGAGAAATTTTGGTATGCTGCACATTTCTACTAGTTTTAGTTTTTTATCTGTTCTGCAAACCCTTCCTCAGTGAAAGTTATTGGATAACCATGAAGTATTTTATTTAACATT